TTGAGAAGAGTCTGCAAGATAAAGGGGATAAAACTGCACAGATTAAACAACCAGTGTTCTGATCCTAGACGGAAACTAAAGAACGTCATGACTGTATAAAGAGATGAGTTTAATTAGGTCCTCAATTCCATATATCATATGTCGTATATTGACAGTTTGCAACTAACATTGTGGTTTTTTATAAACTTAATAAAAATGCAGATATGACCATATGTGCAAAATGTGCTCTGCCTAATACTGGCATGTATTGGTGGAACAGTAAACTGAACAGGATCTAAACGTACAGTGAACTGTGAGTTGGAGTTTGTGTAACTCCCCTTTTTGTCAGTTGTTCCCCGCCCTCACAGTAGGTTTTAAATGAAATTTTGCATGGGCTGCCATGGGCCTACAGCAGTCCACAGACCGGGGCTGCTATGGGCCTACAGCAGTCCACAGACCGGGGCTGCTATGGGCCTACAGCAGTCTGCAGGCGGGCCACGCAGTTAGAGTAACCTATGCATATGATTACAGTCATGCTCAATTTAAAATCGGAATGAATAACTTCCCTGCTCACACGCTCAGTTGTATGCAAAAAGTTCAGCTTTTCATTCTGTAGTGCATCGTACTCCTTAGTTTTCCTCTCTAGCAGGTTGAGCTCATCGGGAACCTTACAACATGCCTCTCAAGAATAATGCCCGACATTCAGTATCTGCTAATGCCAATTTTGCCTTTTCAGTATTTCCATAAAGTGGTAGGCCAACTCCTACCAATGGCCTACAACCTCCTGAAGAGGAACTTGTTTGCTGAAGTTCTTGAAGCACATGTATCTTCCCGGAACAAAGAGAACCTGGACCAGTTGTCAGCGTGAGAAGATTATTCCAGATGTCTTAAGCCGTTTAGAGTTTTGCATGTGTTTTATTGTCTTTTTTTTTTGTTATTATTAGTGTACAGTTTGAAGTATTTACAAAAAAGAATGCAGATCTGTAATAAAATGTATATTTTTCACTATTGCTCTCTTTTCTTAAGTTATAACCAGCACAACAAAACATAACGTACTGTGTTACACGTGACCATTAGCAGTCAGAATCGGAATAACTGGAAATGTATCTATGATGAGGAAACTTCTGGCTCAGGTGAGGTCATGGGGTCACTTTTGACCCCAGTGCTTGAAATTGTTGGTCGTAATGTTGTGAAGACGTGTCTCTATCTTAGAGTCATCTCTCCAATCTCTTCCAGAACAGCATATGCTTGGCTGCTGTCTTTTCCACTCTTGATTATTGTAGTTAAGTGCTTGCTGATGTACCTCTATGTTCAAAATAAGCTGTGGTATGTTGAGAACTCAGCTATTTGAATTTGAACCAAAACAAAATGCATATCACCTGTTTTAAATTCTTGGCATTGGATTTTAGAATGAGTCACAATAGAGCTGCTTACTGTTAAGGGCTTGACCTATTTAATTCCTGACACCCACATGTTGTGAGTGCACTTCAGACTTGGGATTTCTTTCAGTTCCCATTATGAAGCTCTGAACACTGGAAGATCCTTTTCTGTTCTGTTGCTCCAAGAGTGTGGGAGGATTGTGGCCATATCGGATCTTGCAAGCCAGCTGCCACTTTCAAATTTTGTCTACTCGCTTTTATACTCTACCTTTCAATTATGTTCTATACTATTTTAATTTGTCTTTACTTGAATCTTGTTTTATTGTATAATTCTTGAAATGACATACTATGAAAAGAGTACTATTTCAACTCGTCGGACTTGGGTTTCCTTCACTTATTCAGTTCTCTGTAAACCGTTCTGGTCATCAGACAGTTAACACCACTCCCAGACGGTTTCTCTGACTTGAGGCTTGAATGAATTGACTTCAGATTTGATAAAAATGTGTTGAAAGCTATTACTTTTACTGCTCGTGTTACATTATCATTCTCCATCTACATCAACCATAATTGCTTTTTCAGGTCTGTCTGATAGTTGCCCCATAAATTGTTTCCTTGCTCCAGGTTGTCCTAGGAGCATACTTAGGTTGATGTTCTGTGGTTTTGAGATGAATGTTCATTTGGACTTATGCAATATACATAATTGTATAAATTTAACCTCAGCTTCTTCTGCATCTTTCTTCTGCATCCCAGACTGCTCGGATCTGCCTCAATCCTGCACTTATTTAGTGAGCTCTATATGAACCCTTATGGTCATTGAACAGACCATTTACTTTAATACCACTCATAGCTGGTTTTACATAATAGGTCAGTCATGAACCATCTCTGCCATTATAGTTTCAGATGCTGTAGTCTTATTTAGGTTTTCCCAATCAACTTGAAGGATGTTCATGCTCCCCTATGAGTGTGGTCTCTTCCCTGCTGCAAGCATTATTTTACTGTAGTGCGATCAGTTTTGCATACAGCATTCTCCTTTTTAAAGACTTTGAACCTGACTTTCCTCCATTTAAGTTAGGTTCCTATGTTTTGAGGCTTCTATTTTGCATCCCTCTTGAACACTGAGTATCTCTATGTACTATACACCCTCTCCTTCTCATCTGCAATTCCAAGGCCTGTTTGACATTCCACACTTGCAGGTTTTTTCCTCCAGGTCGCCCCCCTCTCGTCTTTTCCCAGCGTTTGTCAGTCATACCCTGCCATTTTTTTTGGCTTTTTTTCCTTTCCCACCCATGCCAAACCATAAATTGGAAAGAGCTGAAAAAAGGGACTGAACTTCACAATCATTGCCATTGGAATCACCTGTTGCTACTGTCACCACCATCATGCATGTTCATGTATGGTGCTGTAGTCTCATCACCTCTGCCTGAAGACCTCTGCACTCAGTAACTGTAAAGGTACGTGCTTTTCATTTTTGTTATATTCCTTTTTATAATTGAAAACTCAATTGTCCTAACTTTTCTTTTACTTGGGTTATTTATGTTTATATGCACTGTGTATTGGGTACTGTATATCTATGGTATACTGCATATATAGTATATAGGAAAGTGTTCTCCCAGTATGTGTTCTTTTGGTGGTTGTTGGTCAGTTCAGGAATGTATCCCCTGCAAATAGAGGACTGGGATTTATTTTCCTTATAACTCCCATAGCCCAGGTTCAGTGACTCCTATATCATGGGTACATTCTGTATGCACCTAATCGTAATATGTTTTTCACTTTTTTATATATTAAAATATAACCTAACCATTAAGCCCTTGCACCATTTAAGCTCACCAGCACATTTTCAGAAGTGTAAAAAAGTATTTCCTGATAATCTTGAAAAATCGAGTGGGCTTTTTTTACCCAAGTCCCTCTTTAATTCACACAGATCCGAATTTTTACTTGTGAGATGTAACTGTAAATTTGATTACGTCCTATTGGCTGTTTACTCAAAAGCTGTTTTGCGTCAAGAGCTAGAAAAAGAACACCTTTCACACAGCCAGGTATCTTCAAATGAATACTAATGACTTTTAAAAGTTGTGGGTTTAAAGTTAATAATTTACAGTAACTAGAATAATGAGCTATAAATAGCTATTGCTTTTTTAAAGTGAATTTCAAGTTAAAAGTAGTTTTTTTTCCCTTTCAGTAATGTAATGGGGCAGGCCACAGATGATTAGTGCAAAGTTGAATTGTATTACAATAGTCTTACATTTTCCAACATTCTTCCCGATCAGTCATTTCTTTACTTTATCATAAAGTGACAGTGAGAACAGAAATGTACTGGATATTTTGTACAATGTTTTTTTAGGTGGGCTTAAAAGGTACATGTACAGCTCGGATTATAAAGAAGGGCCATTTCAGATTTAACCCAGAATAACCATAACTGTGGTATTGTTTACGAAATAAGATACATATTTGTTCATTGCAGGTGTATGTAATTTGTTTGTATTATTAGGCAGAGTATGTTGTCTTTAATGTTCCAATAAAACATTTTGCAACCTGCAACATGGTGTAGAAGTGTGCATATTTTTTATCATGTATTTTAAGAAATATACACAGAAAACATAAAAATGGGCTACATGGGTAGTTGATCCATCAATTAAACCCAGTCATATATTCAAATATTTTAAAGAAAATGTATTAACCTGTTTTAAACAATCTTTACAGCAATACACAACAGCGGCAACATACAGTACCTACAAAGAGTCAGGAAAGGTGGATTTGGTTAGCTTAGTAAGTGACAGTAGCCTAGTTCTTCAGCCTGAAGAGTCATGATGCTGCTCAGTGTAACAGAACAGCCAGCAAGCGATGCAAGTAAACACTGATTCACATATTAGCAAAGCAGGACAGCCCCCATTGGTTACAGACATGCTTACTTTGCTGTATGGCCATGGAGCACAGCAAGGGTCAGTTGTTATAGGTTTTTTATTACTGTACTTTTCAGAATATTTATTTTGCTTCGTGTAAATTATTCTCTTCCCAGCATACCTGTGCATGAAACAATAACTACAAAATTAAATGAAAAGGCCACTTACCTATACGACATACTGTACTTCAGACATGTTCCAGGCATTAATATTTTGTCACTCCAGAGCCTTTTGTCCTCTGGGTAGTCCCGTCTTGAAAAGCCTGCAAATATTCTGATGTGCAGGAAAACCCAAGACTTGGGCCTCACGGATTTAATCAAATATTTTAACATATATCCCCAGAAAGCTTAAAAATGCAGATCAATCATGCAGGTTTCCCGAGTTCTGAAATTCACACTCAGAATATTAATACTACAAAGCTATTGGAAAACCTCCCTGAGCACCAACAATCTTAGCAGTTTCGCTGCGGTCTGCTCAGGCTCTGGATTGATTGCACTAGTATGTTGTTCTTTGTGTGGAGGTCTAGCCAGCAGGTTAATGGCTTTGGCGACTTAGGTCCTACATATCTTCTGTTGAACTCAGGGCAGAAATCGAACTGTTGTGCAACTGCTCTCCAAGCATTTGAGCCTCTCTGAAGCAGAACATATCCTGCTCAGAGCACCTTCTGTCAGAGACAGGCCACCTTCCATCGCGCCAAACCAAGCAGGTATACGTCATGACTTGATTAGGACATAGTTCCAGCTTTTTTTATTGTTGTTATTCCATTAAGGTGCCCCTTGTGAATTGCTAATTATACAGACTCTTTTGTCAGTTCATTCTGGAAAATTTCAATATACAGTTTTTGTTGTTCAGTCTTTAATGCGCTGGGTTTGTCATTAGAAGGCTGGTCGTTAAAATCGCTGGGTATTGCTGCTTGTTTCCTTCAGCAATGTGTGTGGCAGGCAGATTGCGTTAGTTAAACGCCCATATTGCGAATGAGCACAAATCAAGTTAATACGGCTTAAAGCATTAATCAAATAATTAATTGACATATGTTTCTGAAATCACATAGGGCTCAGTTTGTTATCCCATAGAACATTATCCATTACGTAAAAAGTAACATGTGCCAAATGAGGTACTAATATAAAACTTTTACTTGTTTGCATCGTGCATCAGTAGAGCTCCATTTAAACTAAAAGTCTTGCTCTATCAAATGGCAATTAGCTGCACACTATTAAAAGTAATATGTAATAAGTAATAAGTCTGAAGTCACTGAAGCCAGGCTATTGCATTCCATGGTGGAACTAAATGATTTTGTACTCACTACATAAACATTAAGAATCCGCTGTTTTCATCAGCACTGACCAAGACGCGTCCCTCGCTGACTGCAGTGGACGCCTGTAAGATCCCAGGAGGCTGCAGGGGGCGCCGTTTAACGAAGAGAGCCCTTGTCAATGAATAAGCGCAACTGCTTTGTGAATCCGTGTTGCTGTTAAAGACATGACACCCAAGCCATTAAACGTGGTGTTCAACCCTACCACTTTGAGGTGTACCCTGCGTTTCCTTTTGATTTGACTACCAGGCGGCAAAATAACGACAGCTTCGTGTTTCACAACCTCTCAAGCCTAGTGTTCCCTGACACAAGTAATTTTGTGAGTCATTCCTGTGTCCTTTATTGTTTGTAGACAGAAAAAAGTTCACAACGATTTCATATTGTAGCTTAAACAAAAAAAATAATCAATTTTACATATTCGTAATGTACAATCAAACAATCAAGGTAATCAGACTTAAAATCCTTTATAATGTGCAACCCTAACACGAATATAAATAAAAAAAAACATCAATATTTGTATTAAATACAGTGTTAGGCAACACCACAGGTTAATAAAGACAATGCATTCTTTATTAACCAATAGCAGGACAGATACTGTTAGAAAGAGAACGCAAAAACACTGACCCCACGCTTTAGCTTCAGATAGCAGGTTATATTGGCAGATAAGGTGCTACGCATGTTTGCTGGAAAAACTAAGAGGAAACAGGACTCCTGGGGATACTCAAGACACACTGGATTAGGTCGTACTGGTCAAAGAGCATGATGCCAATAACTCCGGATTATTTAACAATTGGTCAGGATTCATCTCATGAACTTACTGTGCCGCATTTTTCAGGGAATCAGGTTCACTTCTCATTAAAGATGACTGACATTTACATCACTTCATTAGCTAGCTGAACTAAAGCAAGCGGAATCGCTACACTGACACTGCTCTAATCCTGCATCACGGCTCTCAGGACAACAGTGTGACAGGGACAGCGTGAAAAGCAGAAAGAAACGTCTTACGCATCGTTTACACTGACATACTGTATTTCTGATGTTCTGTTTTCAAGGATAAGATAACAAGGATAAGTGAAAATAAAAATCACCAAATAGGCTCGACTATATCCTCTGTGCAGTATCATTTATCAGTCCTTTTAGACATAAGGGTCCAGTTTTGAAAAAACAGTGCAAGTTCCCCATCTCGACATTGTTTAAAATATCAGTAGTAAGTATAGGTTTATTTATTTATTATTATCACTACAAGTAGCATTTAAAAAAAAAAAACAACAGGTCCAGTAACAGAGTGTACAGAGCTACCTTACTGGTTCCCCACTTCCTCTGGCTCCAGAACTTAATCACAACAATGTGGACACTACTGGAACAGGTGCGCCCCTGTCACACAGTCTCAGAGTTTGTCATTAGTTGCAGCTGCAACCTTCCTCCTCTCTAATTACAGGCAGAAACTTCCAGCTCGCCTTGGTTTTTTAACGCACTTCAAGCAGGCATGACAGTCATACACCGCATTCGTCCCATTTGATCTTTGTCACGGAAACTCCCAGAACACCCTTAAATAAGACTCAACCCTCTTTCACGATTCACAAACAGCATCTCAATATGAGAAAGGACCGCTTCAGTAGCATGATGGCCTGGCTCAATGCGCTGAAAAATGACAAGCTAGGAATGGAATGTTGAAATGCTTTGCGACGCAAGAGTTTCACAAATAATCCTTAAAGGGGGCAGCACCCTGCAGTCTGTAGTTAAGGTGGTTCAAGTCACTGGAAAGCAACGGGCCTGATAATGCCACTGTGCATAATGAACTTCAACATCACATGGGTATACATACGACACCCTTGCTCATCTGTGCATCACTCAAAGGGTGCCATCCAGACAACTGTCTTTACAGTCAAATCCACACTCTGGATTCAAGGAAGGGGTGTAGGTGGGACAAGCCAAGAGAGTTTTATCTTCTTAGGATAACACTTAAGTGCTTTATTCACGACTCCTTGACCAAAGCAGCATCTCAGGCAAACAATCCTGTAGACGTGTTTCCTTCTTTCACGTTTTATTCCGAAGTCCCTCTTCAATCGGAACCCTTGGGTCAGAGAGTTGTGCTGTTCAGCAAGTGAACTTCCTCTTCTGTCTCCTCCAGCGCAGGGTTTAGTTGAACATTATTGACTCTGGGTCGAGGTTTGCCATCTGGGCCATATGACGGAGGATGTCTTTTTTTGTTATAATGCCAAGGAGGCGCCTGAAAAACAACAAAAAGAGCACCGATACAGGTACAATTAGTCACATTAAGAGAACTCAACTTGGCAGGTAAGATCATCTTTTTGTTGGCCAAAGTAAATTAGCTCATACTGCCACAGTCGGAAACCTGGCAACATTCAGAGGCTGATGGCTGCCATCAGAGGAAGCCAAGTCTTTCTTCTGGCATTTTTTGAAAATCATTAGGGGTGTTAAACCCCGTTGTTCTGGCCAAATATGCTCCTGGCCTTTCGGAATCATGGCCTGCTAATAATCCCCATATATGAACTGGCTTTATCTCTCTGTTCCCCTCCCCACTGACAGCTGGTGTGTGGGGATGTACTGGTGCACTCTGGCTCGCCTTGGTTTAATTATACAAGGGGATCATTAATGTAATGAGCCCATCCTGACCTTGGCTCTTCACTCAAAGCATGCATGTGTGGACAGAACTCACAGCAGAATGGGGAGTGCCCTAAAAACATCAAACATTCTGGAAACAGTTCTGCTTAAATAAAGGTAAGAGGTCTTATCGACATATACAAAATATAAAAGGTTTTCTGCTACTAAAGCCAACAAAAAGATGAAAAATGTATTTCAAGGGCGGTGAAGAGGAAGTGGGTGCCAAGAAGTGATTCTAATCCCATCAAAGAAACAGTTTCATTAATAAACAGTACCCGTCTTCACATTGTATCACTATCAACCTACGCCCATTACAAACGTTTTGATTTCCCCACTTCTCTCATCTCATTGCATTCCACATTTTCAGAAGAATTCAAGAGCGTTTAGTATCTCACATATATGAATGTATTAATAAGAACTCAAAATTTGATTTTCACCCAGAACATATACCACATAGGAACTGGCTACTTTAGAAATGTGCGCAGAGTTGTGAACACTAGTTTACAACTTTGGCGACAGAAATAGCCAAATAAAACTGTCATTTCTTTATGACAGACCTCCAACTTTATTTGCTTTTTACACTTGTGCTTTTGAATTCTTTGTTGAAAAATGTAATCAGGTGTTTTAGTTCTTTGTGAGACACAGAGGTTTGGGGGGGCCAGAGACAGTAGATTTGACGTTAAAATAGAGGATCAGTTAGACAGGCTTGCTCTGCAGGGAGAAACTGGGAAAAAAGTGGGACAGATAGCAACAGCTGGGGCTGCTCTGGTTAGTACGAACACAGCAGGAAGCATGAAACGCATGTGAAACTTCGACACTAAGCCGGACTAAAGCAGTGGGAGTGGCCGATCTACTGCTACCTCTACAAGGGCAATCAAAGTCAAGTTCTTATTTCTCTAACACAGGCACTTAAAAAGACATGGCTAGAAATTCTCTAATAGTCTACCATCTAAACCTTATCTAATAAATTACGTGCCAATCACTTAAGGCGACATCATGTTTCTGGTCAGATGTCATCAGTCTGAAATCAGCAGATGAGCCAAAACAAAAAATAAAGCATTATTTTGGATGATGCTAAGTGAACCAAGATAATGAAATGGGAGTTGGTGGAGGGTGCTGGTACACATGTACATTCTATATACACAAGATTACATATGAGGATGAGTCTCCACATATACTGAACTTCTAAGAAACTCTGTGCTTATAACTGCGACAAATTCACAAAGTCATCTGGAAGACGTCAATCTTTTTAAAGATTTGGTGACATTTTATTGACGAGACATGACACAGGTAAAAGTATTATGTATTATGACTACTAGCGTGTAAAGTAACAGCTGGTTTGCACCAGGTTACAGATTGCACAGGTTCCTCTCACAGAGATGTGACGGACATGTGCCTGATGACTGGCCTCTGAGCCCTAGTTGCCACAGCTGGTCCCAGCTCATTACACAGACGTTCAATGGGGTTGATGTCTGACAAGTAGGGCAGTCACAACACCGGAGCCACATTCTCATCTTACAAAAAAGCCCGATCACCTGTGTCAGCTCACGAATGATTAATTGCTTATGCGACTGAGTCACTGGAGTGAATCACAGTCAGTCATGAATGATCAATTAAGCGAAATCACACCAAGAACATGTAACTTATATCCAAAACTCTTATACTTTGTGTTTATAAAGACATACACTCATAAGCAGAGTGATAGGTCTCTATTGATGTTCAGTATATATAAATCCTCAGTGGTGAGGCTATGTACTGTAGCACAAGAGCAATAATGAACAATGGATTCTGGCTAAGAACTGAGAAAGTTCTGGATAAATTCCTAGTTTTATACACCTATAAAATGTAAGTACATATTTTTATACAACAGACAGTATTCAACCACTGTGTAAAGGACTAACTGACACCTACAGAAACGGATTTTCACAGTTCTACGTGGACTACTCTAAGATTGACAGGACTGCAGCTGCCCATAATTCTCAGACAGAATTGCGACATGTCAGGTTTTAAGAACGGCAAGAACTTTTCACAGGTTTCATGCATCCCTCTTTTTCTACAGGACTAAGAGGCAGATGTGGCGCTTTGAATCACCAAGGGCTCCGCGCGCTGCTTAAGTTCCTCGAGGTGTTCTAATATATTCTTCTTGGTGATGATTCCCAAGACAATCCTGAAACAGATCACGTCATGCTAATAACTGCGCTTGAAGAAAACAACAGAGAAACCGCACCAAGAAAAAAAAAAACGGATTATCCTGGAGCATTAAATGGCAATCCGATAAATGCCACTTTAAATAGACCCTTAAGCAACCGGGATATTTATATAACAAAGTTTCTATATGTTTGTTTTGAGGCATCATACAACATTCTTTGCAATTAGGAAAGTAATCCAGTGAAGCTGGGAATTTCAGTAAAGTCAAACTCCACTTAGCCGCATCTAAAAATCAAACACACAGTAGGACATCTGTCATTTTCCTCTCCCTGTACTGCTTGTGAATAGCCAAAATATTTTGATGCCTTCCTGGTTTCTATTCAGTGAAAGGCTGAATGGGCCAAGCTTACAGATTCACCTCTTTTTAAATTAAAGAGTTCCTAAGAAAATACAAAGAATTATTTTTTTGCATTTTGAAACAGAGCTGAGCTGAAATAGTGGAACAAGCCAGAAATGAATTAATCTTGTAGCTCCACTTCCCTACTGATAAAAATGGCAGATTTACGGCAGACACATAACATGTCTTCCATCTCCATCAACATTAAAGAGTATTTCCTGAATGACGACTATAAATGTAAATTCTCTAAAGCATAAATAAAAAATTAACCATCCTGAACATGAAGATTATACAATATAAGTTTCCTTCGGGACAAAATCAATCTGTTTGCTTCAGATTTAGTTATATGGTAATTTGAATAAATTATTTTTACAGATTGTTTCACCACTGTCAAATGGTGCTCAAACATTTACTATGAAATGAAATAATGTGAATTGATGAAATAATAGACTTTTACACTATAGCAAATGCAATTTACTTATTTCCTGCCTTCCTTCATACACAATGTCACAGCATCAACACAGAGGGCACCCCTTATATGTCCATTAAAGGAACTGAAATTGTGACTTATATGTTACATTGCTAAATAATGCAACTTATAGCAAAACAACTTATAAAGTGGAATTCATATCCTTAAGAAATGTTATTAGCCTGAGATACCCTTTCAACACATACAGTTCAGATGCATGTATAATGTACCTATAACTGACAAAAACAAATACATAGAAATAGGTAGGACAAGTATGATGATATTCTTACCTTGTAAATTTCTTAGGTGCTTTATTCAGAATGAGACTCAAATTAACACATGACCTCCTCCGAACAGCACCTAACTTTGTACCAGCACTTGATTTGCTGGTCATGGCTTAAGGCTTACACAACTATCCAAAGATAAAGTATGTGTTCTCGCAAAGAGCTTACTTGAAAACTTACAGTTAGGAGAATGAGCTAAGGATTGTCATGGGACATCACAGCACACCACAGTGCCATACAGTATATGCAAAACGATGAATATCAAGTTGACTCATAAGGGGGACCCTCTGTTCTTTGAGAAACTGTGACATATTAGGGGTTTGTGCGCCAGTGATTAGATTATGATTTTACACATTCTTCTTAAAAGCATGTTTCCTTTGAACTTACTTAATTTTGTCCACATTCTAGTGGCCGAAGCAAAATGCAGTCTCTTTCAGGTCTTCAGATTTTTATTTTCTAAGTCTTAATTAATTGCTGGCAATTCCAATGGTTGTTATTTTGACAAAAATGGAATATTAACTTATATTGGAGAAAATGGACAAATGGCTGTCATTAACTGGGATCCCCCTTTTTAAGAGATCTGCACATAGCAGTGGGTTGCAGAATATAAGATCACATACACAGATCAGATGAACATACAGAATAAAATCATTAGAACCACAGATTATAATAAAGACCCGAGCAGACAAATACACATGTCCTTTGAAGCTACTCAGGATGAGATCTTTCCAGTATACAGCCTTGTTAGGCAGATTTGTAGAAACCTGTACTTTTATGTCTGCTATGAAACAGTCTTGAGCTATGACAGAGCAATTGAAAATAACTCTAATATGAAACCTACGAATGGTTCAACATTAACCATGTGAACAACAAATCACATAATGATTGTGTAGTACCACAAGAAAGGACCTGTATGAGATCCCAACAAAATCACACAGCTCTGCGATACGCCACTACCACTACCCAACACTTGCTATCTCAACGCAATATGCTAATTACAAAAAACACTTAGAATCCCCAAGACATTTGCAGGACAAAGTGGTTTCATTGTTGAGTGATCTAAAAGGATATTTCAAATTTAATGCATTAAGTCACTGTAGCTGAGGTGTGGATAAGTAACAATCAAGAGAGAAAAAATACAATTTTCCCACATCAGCATAACAAATGCCTTTCCCTGTGTGGAAAAATTATAAATCACAATCACAAAACGATTAAATAGATATCATAAGGGAAGGATTAAAAAGGAACTCTGCCCTCAGAAAGGTGAGACTAAGACACCATGAGATATGTAATCAAATGAAAATAAGTTCCAGAACACGGCATTTAAAGAGGATGAGCAAAGTTTGTTTCAAAATAGAGTAAAGTGTTTTAGAGGGCAGGGGGTTCCCCACAAAACTACTGTTCCACCCCCTGCCCTCACTCCCCAAAAGCAAATAACGAGTGAAAGGGAGTTTTAATCCAATTTTAAATTAAAAACTTGTTATTTGTCCAAAAGATGTAATAAACTAAAAAGATCACAACACATGGTTCTCGTATCACATTTTTCAGGACTATACATTTGGTAAGTCCTTACTTAAAGAGATAACAATTCATCAGGATATGAACAACAAAGAAAATTTGCAAGACTACTGAACAGCTAGAGCAACACATGGTGATTGACAGTACTAGATTATATTAATTCTAAAATATGCTTTTGACTCCATACAAATATACATCTAAAAATGTAACCTCAGCAACAGCGTTAGACAGCTCTAAGTTTTGCTGTCTTATAAACTAATGCCGCTGATTAATTTGTCAGAATACAGGCCTGAGAAGCATTCATTATGTAGTATTAACAGTCAGAAAACATTTACCTATAAACTATTTAACAAGTTAGTACCGATAATGTTTAGGTTATTGCTAGCCCTAGCAATAGGAGGGCTTCATTACTGCACTGTTTCAGGTGGGGTCTGCAATAGCAACACAAATGGCAACAAGCTGGTTGTCTTTTATTGCGTGAAAAAAAATCCATCTTCCACCTCAGTGTGTCAAGCTGGTCTTACCCGTTGTGTGTGACAAGGCACTGCCTTAACCCCAGTTTCCTGAAGATGTCCACCACAATCTCCATGGGCGTGTGGTCTGTGACAGTGAAAGGGCTCATATCCAGAATGCTTCGTAGCTTCAGAGGCCTGGGGCTGTCAGCAGGAAGAGATGGGGCATGCTGGGTGAAATAGACTCTGGACGTTCGCATAATGCCCTCTTGCTTTCGGCGAGCATTTTCTAGAAATAAAACAAAAAACAGCTTCACGTATCCAGACGTGTCACAGAAAACCTGAAAATGTCAAAGTTGAAGTTAATGGTTCTGTAACTGAAACAAAATTGTTCTGAATGAATAAAAATGTTCTGAAACAAAATAAAGCATTATTGAACCAGCTGAACAGTTAGTACACATTGAATTCTGCTATGCAGTATGTAAGCTCAAAACAATAAGCGTACAAAATCAAGAAATGACATACACTCAAATCGTTACACAGGTCTTTCAGATTAAAGCACACTTAAACAGTCTACACCCTACTGACTAGCGGTTTATCTTCTGAGGTAAATTTGTAATGTGCAGTTCTTTCTCAAGCTGCAGAACAGACTTCATACGTAGGACAGGTACACAGATAAATCAGACTAAACATCTGCTAAACACAGCCCTAAATCAGCATAGCCAATTACACAAACGCACAAATAACCCCTAGAGAGATAGCGAGGGGGAGTGTACCAATGGCGATGATGATGTCTCTCCTTAACGCAAAGCCCACTAGCCTCTGCGACTCCTTGGAGACGATGACGGGAAAGCCATTGAAGCTGGTCTCGTTGATGATGCTCTCCAGGTCTTCCACAGTCAGGTCGTCCTGAGTTAGCACGGCCAGAGGCGGGCTGTTCCGGCGCGGCCGCATCACCTCCGAGGCCAGCGTGGTGTGTGTGAACTCCTCCTTGGCGTCCAGGAAGGGGTAGCCGTTGAGCCGGATGTGCGCCTCGTAGATGCCCTCCCTGCCGAAGGCGTCCCCCACCCACTTGCTGGTCATCACGGCCGCCATGAGGGGGACGATGTACTCTAGGCCGCCCGTCAGCTCAAACACGATCACCACCAGAGACACCGTCATCCGCGTCACTCCACCTGTTGGGGGGGGACAGACATCGGAACTTGTGGCCTGGCCAAATTTCCAATCCCAACCCCACTCCTACAGCATTGGCAAGAAAAAATCGAAAACCCACAGTGGACTCTTGGGAAAAGAAACAACGATGAGCTTTTTCTCTTCCACTGCTAAAAATACCATACTGTCAAAAGTTTTTTTGTCTGATAACCTTTCTGCTTTTTTCCATGTGAAGCCCTTAAAACTAGAGACTTCACTGTATGCTTATTTGTTGAAGAAATTCAGAGAACTCCCTGTGAGCTCTGCATGACTACAGTTTGCTGCTTTAGTCATTTTACCCCAAATTCAATATCAGTGTTATAAAATAGCTATAGTTTTTTTCCTGTTGTGTTCTTATTTGTTAAAAAATTAAGACAATGTCCTCTTTTCTAATATACGCACATATAAAAACAAAGATTTATTTGCAATAACCAAAATGTTTTCTAAGAACCTCTCAGACCTTCTTTGGAACAGGTACCAAGTGTTCTCTGACAGGCTGTCGGGACTACAGACAACAAAACAATCTGAGATAATGTGCACAGTCCTTATATAAAATGAACCACACAGAGTGATTTGTACCTGTTTCAGTATTCACATGGATAAACAAGCATTCATAATTTAGCTTAATCATATAAGGTTTTTCTTGTACTGGGTCTTGCCACTGGCATTGACATTTCTAGATTGAACTCCTTACTCTGTCCTTCATCTCAACATTTAAGAAACAGAACCACTTATGTAGAATGGGATAAAATAAAAAGACAAACAATACCCTCTAGTGGTTGCTAATAAAAATTATCCAAAATCCTGAATGAACACGAGAATAGTTCAGACAGTCCAGACTAAGCATGATTCTCAGGGCAATCAAGACTGCAAGTCCCAGAGCACAGTGCAATTTACAAAATGGATCCCACTGAGCAATGGAAATGCAAAGTCATAAGGAGAGTCAAACAGAATACATGTCCATAGTTTTTGATCAGAATTTGATCAATCATGAAAATGAAAGGTGAATTTCTTGCAAAATCCAATGTTTTACATGCAAAACTGTGAACCATGTCTATTTAAAAAATATATATAAATCGAGATTTATATACTGTATATGTGTACACAGACCTACTTTTCCCATTTGAATTACTTGCTGCTAAGAAGTTTCTTTTCAGTCCCCTCACTGAGATATACTTCCACTGCAGACCAGGTTTCACACTGGGATAGACTCAAATTCACGTCCATGTACTTTTGGTAACAATACGAAGTTTTATATCTGTTAACAACTTCAACTAAACAGCTGTAACAAATGGATTTCAGAATGTGCCTTATAACTCCTATTTCCTGAGGATCTGTTTTTGAACGGCTTGTCTCCAGTCATCTTTTCAACAGCCCTCTCTTCAGCAGAGTCCACCTTCATGAAACAATTTCTTCAGCTTCTCACCATGTTGTCCGATTTGCCATTCAAGGTTTTCTTCTGTCCTTTTAGCCTTCCTCACCCTCTCCTAGAGGTAATCTTTCCTTCCGCTTCTTTGAGATTACATTTTAAATTCGAGAACAAACGCTGCCCATGATACGACAAACACACGGTATTGTGAGCCCTGGTCTGCTCTTCTCGCTTCAAGATTTGCTACTCTGTTAAGGTACACCTACCCAGACATGCAGCCGCGCCAACCATGGCATAGAGCCCTGGTGTGATGCAGTCCGCCCCCACCTCACACCACTCCTTAAACAGGAACCAGTCATGGTGGTAATAGGCCAGTTGCTCTACTGCAATGCCTACAATCCTCCCAGCAATAGCTCCAATAGCCATGCTGGGAATGAAAAGCCCAGATGGCACCTGAAAGACAAGAAAACAACCATTCCAGCATGAGGCAGAGGTAACCTACATTTTACAAGCATGCCATTTTAAAGACATAGATTAAAACCCTGTCCACAATGGTCAAAGAGCTCAGGCAAGCTTTGAAGCAATCAAACCAAAACCACCCAACGTGTTTGCTGATTTCTGTATTTTTCAACAAAATCCTCAGACAAGACTTTTGTGTTTTGTGTTCTATGCTCTGCTTCAGTTACACAAGGCTACTCTTTGTTGTGCTCTCAATCTCATTTTAATATGTAGTCAAATATAAGTAGGAGGGTTTTGACATTTTAATGCATTGTTGAAATCTAGCCACATGTGAATTTTTAATTCATTTTTACCACAAGTATTTTTTCTTGGTCTTTGCTAAAACGCAGGCAGCTGCATTCTGCAAAAGCTTTAGTTGTGGCCGATCATGACAACTACTGCCATAAAACAGTGCATTGCGATTGTCCGATGTAGATGACATAAAGGCATAAACTGATTGATTGGCATGAGTGAAATGATCTCATTTTACTAATGTTCCTCAGATGATAAAAAGACATTTACATAATCTGTTCAATCCGGTCAACCAAATATAGCCACTAAATTCCTCACCTCGGGATTGTTTTTAGTTGCATCTATCTGCTTCTGAGAATATACAAATAAGATGTCTGCCTTATTTTCATTTAGCTGCAGTAATGCATGTGGTCACGGCAAAAACTGATTATGTGGGTGGGTACTTGTTAGAAATATTCTCATATAATTTTGATCCGCATTCAACAAGCATTTCCATTTCTTCATGCGTCAGGATAATGAAGAACGTTAATAAGAAGGATAAGAACGTCATTAACAATAGCTTCCTGCGTTATAACCACACACAGCAGTGTTATACAAAACTCGGGGGGTTTTCCTTAGTGACTAAACCTGTGATGCGGCCATGTGCTGAGGTGCAGGCACTCACCTTGATGCCGAAGGTGAAGATGGTCATGATGATCTTGAAAATGAGCGCCAAGGACAGCTGCCACATGGCGGAGTACACCCCGGGCCCCGCGGGCCGATCGGACAGGTCTCCCACCACCTGGCTGCCGTTCATGCCGCTGTGGTACTGGCAGAGCTGCGAGGACTCCAGGGGCCCGCAGTCGGTGAAGAGCTCCTTGATCAGCTCGCTGGTGTTCTGGCGGGTGTAAGGATTGGGGAACGCCACGATAGCGGTGATCGCGGCCACAATGATCACTTCCAGGACGGGGTACTTCCCGAATCGCGTGGACTTGCGCCGACGGCACCAGGCGATGTTGGCGCGGATGAAGAAGGCCCCCCACAGGCCCCCGAAGACCCCAAGCAGAATGAAGGGGAAGAGTTCAAACATGTACCAGGGGGTGTGGTATTCCACGTAAAACAACACCAGCCGGCTGTTCCCAAAGGGGTTGATGGACCGCAGCACAAAGGCAGCCACCAGGGCCGCAAAGAAGGATCTCCACAGGGTCTTGAGGGGAAAGTAATAACTCACCTGTGGACAAGCACACAGAGAGTCTCATCACCAGTAAAAAAAGGAAGGCCCTGGAAAAAAGTCCAATTTTTCACCATTCCATCTAGTTGTACATTACAAGTGCTTGAGATTATCACTGGAAAAAAAAAATACCTCGCCAATTCTGTAAAATTTCAGACATTGGGTAATACAAACCTCTTCCAAGCTAAATAAGACTCCTCCAATTGGTGCACCAAAAGCAACAGAGACCCCAGCTGCAGATGCTGCTGACAGGACCTAGATGAGAAGATAAAAAACACACAAGTGTCCTGACACTGATGGCCTCAAACTAATCAATACAGCACTGAAGGCCACACATTAATCGAGACTGTGCTGAAGGCCTCACCCCAACGAAGGACTCACGCTAATCGCTACAGCCCTGAAGGCTTCACACTAATCACTACAACTCTGAAGGCCTCACCCTACTGAAGGCTTCACACTAATCGCTACAGCTCTGAAGGCCTCACCCTACTGAAGGCTTCACACTAATCGCTACAGCCCTGAAGGCCAGTCACTACACTATTATACACCAAGGTCTTGATCTTCTTTAGCTTTACAAATATGGTAGAAAAAGGAACTCACTTCTCGTTTTTTTGCCTCGTTTTTGCTGTACTTGGGGAAGAGGTAAGAGAAGATGTTGCCGCAGCAACAGGCCACATGGACCAGCGGCCCCTCTTTACCCAGACTGAGGCCTGATGCCACAGCCAGCACCAGTGTGATGGTCTTGATCATCAGCGTCCATTTCCCCAGGTACCCACGGATAATAAACCCACTCAGGATCGTCTTGATCTGGAAGAAACCAGGCGATTATGATTCCACCTCTTCCCCAATAATATCAAATCTGTTAGTAGCACTTAAACTAGACAGTGGATGCAAGAGTGATACACACATCATTAAATTTACCTGTTCGGCTTAAAGCAGTGGAGGACAACTCCAGTCTTGGAGGGCCAGTGTCTGGTCCATGTTAACCACCCCACTGAGTTAATCATTAGCTTAATTGGACCAATTTAACACTTTTCAAAGGTCTTCAGCTGTTGATGATTTCTAGAGATCTCCAGAAAATGCTGGATACAGGCCCCAGAAGACTGGAGTTGCTCATCTATAGTTTGGTAGTAGACAGCTTGACAGAGAAAGCCCACCCACACACACGGGTGAAGAATACAGAAGTTTAAGAATTCATCAGAAAGTATAAACATACGAGGTAACAGATACAAAACAGATGAACGCAGTAATACCAGAAGTGTGATATATGCCACAAATCGTGGTATTTAGCAAATATCAAATCTTTGGCTACAGTGTAACTATGAGGCGTGACGCAGACGGAACCCCAAAAAAGTGTGAAAAGGGAAATAAGCAGAGTAAGGCTCACACATATTCACAATAAATGCACCAATTAGAGTTAATGCTTTAAAACAAACAGCAGCAGCTAATCATGTAGCTGAAAGAAGACAGAGAATGTAGACCTTCTGTGTAAGTTCAGAAATAAACCCGCTGGGTTTGGGGTTAAGGAATGATGTCTAGTCACACCGTTAAAGCGATCGTACAGTCAATTGAGGAAGCCAATCAACCCCCATACCCCCTACCAAACACGCACTCACGCAAACGAATTGCAGAAGTGACAATACACATGTTCAGAAATCCTAAAGTTTGGCATTAGCACTTACAACACAATGAAAGAAATTAATGACATTATAGACACCAGTAGACCCCACCACAGAATTTACTGGTCGTGGACCACGTTTGTTCTGAGGGACCATACTGAGCTGAGCCATGCTGTTGAGGTAGCTGGAACTTCCAGGGATTTTGAGCAGAATTTAAATTTTTAAAGATAAAGTCCAGGAAGGGAAGATTTTCTATTTATTGTATGAACAAATGACTAACAAAAACCTTACAAAAGCCTAGATGATCATTTGAAAAACAACTCAAATATAAAAAAAAGTTGGGTTGCACACTAATCGCTCATGGAACAAATTACCTTCGCTGGCTAAAATAAAAATAAAAACCTTTTCCACTTTAAAATGCACAAAAACCCCATAAGAAACTTTCAGGAGTACTTACCTCCGGGATACCAGAGCCACAGGCATATGGCGCAAACACTTTCACAAGACAAACAGCTAAGAAAGCAAAGGCTAAGGCCCAATATATATACATGATGTAGTTCATTATATAGGATCCCGGGCCCTGCAGAAAAAAGGAGAAAAAAAAAGACGAACTTTTAATAACAATTTCACCTCTGCACTAAATCAAAGGAGCGCATTGTCATTTTTTATTTTTTTTTCAGAACATTCATACTAAGTAGCACTTTTTTGTGTTTTATAAAATAAAGGGAAAAAATGCTGAAACAATGCCAATGTTTTTCTTCCATTTAAAAATTATATAGTGTTGAAACGCATTTTTAAATCTACACTTTGGAGCAGAAAGGGCATATTTTCTTGACCTCCGCCTGTCCGAGGATGAGTTCGGCCCAGGTCTTCCACTGCGGACATTTGTCTCTCTCCTCGAAGGTGGTCTCATTTGATCCCCAGCAGCACTGCTCGTGGTTAAACCACAGCGCGCTGAGGCACACTCCCTCCTTGAGGTCGTTCATCCAGTCCGCGGCAATGTCTATCAAGCCAGCCAGGGCGCCTAGGAAAGGGGCAGAAGCTACGAGTTAGAGCAGTGGCTGGCAAACTTCCCTTATTCACAGTGCCTTTCAAATCCAAAGCTTAAGATGGACCTCCTCACTCAGAAACACATTTACAGGCACACATTATCTACAATGGCAAGTAGCGTTAGCTAACTATACAGGTTTCCCTTGCATACTGAGGGGAAAACAAGGGCATAAGTTCCCACGGGCCACGGTCTCCCCTAAAACTACAAATACAAAACTGAGAGTTATAACACATGAGCTATAAAATACAATTAACAGGAAAAAGGTATGTTATTTACCTTGAGTCCTGAGAGTTAAAAATAGCAGAATATTTCACTATACTTTAGAGAGCTCTGACATCAGGTAGTCACGCCCATTGCGAAAGATAAACACCCACACACCTAGCTGGCTGGAGAAACATGGGAGCATGAGGGAGACGCCAGGGAGGCGAGGCGATAACACAGGGTCATGAGTTCGTGGAGAAACTGCGCAATTAATGGTTTACCATGGGCAGAATCGTGCAAGAGCAAGGGTTTCCCTGCAAGGGGGAAGATTAGTACTGAATATGTAAGAGCGAATTCTGTGGTTGACAAGAACTGTAAAGAATGACCCTTAGCTAGTTACATCAATGAGATGGAAGCGCACTGAGTAAAATGGTGTTTCTTACTTTCACTGTAAGGTCACATGATAGCTTAAGCAGCACTCGTTCAACTTTTACACTTAGGGGGCAGGCTGACATAACAGTGCCGAAGGACCCCGAGACCAGTCACATCCCTCTGGGCCGAAATCCTGGAGTACAGGCTGGACTACTGCCACAGTGAAGTGAGACGAATCAAGATGATGTCACTCAGTTAACGGACACGCTGCTTGTGTGCAGCAATGCGGTAAAAAGCTGAAACACATCAGCGAGCCAAGTCTGTAATCTTGCTTTCCAGTCTGCCTGCTTTCTTCTGAAATCCAGTTATCTTGTCGCCAATCAAAATCACGCAGGTCAATGTGAAGGCTTAAGTCCTTCCTCCAGAAAATTACCACGAGAGAGCTGACGCATTTCTGAGGAGTTTATCATGCCCTGTACATTCTTGCTTGCACAGCTTTGCAAAGAAGCATGACATCCGAGGTTGGGAAACTGCAACAACTGCATTGTGTAACAACTGCATTTGAACAGTGCATGGTCAGACACGTGCCTCTTAATGCAAATTACAATGACTAGCCGTTGTATTTGGGTTCAGGGCTTAAATTCTGGTATCTATTCCATTCTGGCCGTCTGTCTTCAGGACAAATTATAAACAACTAGGACAAATAATAAACAGGCTGCTCTCATCTTAAAGTTTCCTCTTTTAAGAAATCCATCCAATAATTTGAGAGTCCAAAAGTTGACATCCTTCCTTGTAACTCCTTGAAAAACTGAAAGGTCCAATTATCCCTTTTCGTTCATAGCAAACAAAAACTCAACTGTGCCGCCATAGTTGACTTAAGCTGAATTGCATTCTGTTCTGGCAACCACCTTTCCTGAAGTTGGCATTCGGAGTCTAGATTCAGGATTTGGAGAGTCTCCTGCTCAATAGACAGGGGTGCAGCTTTCCATTTGCTAACCACATTGGCTCCTGCTATAATCTAACATATCATCACAGCCACTGGAAGCAGAAATCCCATCCAGTTGTATGGGATGTTTTACACTTTGTAATCAGAAAATCTCAGAAAATATGTAAATGAAGCTTTCAGGACCTTCCCTGGGATTTGTCATCGGGCTCTTCAGTCCATGACAATAGTCTTTCTTTGTTTTAAGAATTTCTCTGAATGCATCTATGTGCTCTGGGCTCTTTGTGTTGAAGTTTTATTTCATTTTAGTAGGATTCCTTGCCTCATAGATAGACTTTGTAAGCATAAGACACATACAGCAGCCTCCCAGCACTGAATTCCATGAAATCAAAACCAATGTGACTTCGATTTTCTGTGATTCAATTGCTTTACTATGGTTTTACTCTCCTATTTCCTTGTCTTCAGCATTACTAGCATTGGTACAGTGTAAAGACTTCAGAAATCCATTTATATACAGTATATGAATGCTTAGCAGAAGTATTAATATGCAACAATGCATGATCTGTATAGAGTGATATACAATGTTAAAAAAACGTTAATCGAAATAGTAGTAGTGCGCCTTTCTAAATCGTCGCTTACTTTGCCTGTTGTCATATCAGTAAATAATTAATCCCACTGAAGTGATGTCCTATCACAAAATGTACACTTGCCCCCGCTTTCCACTGAAGACATAACTCATCACGACTCAAATTTACACAGCGCTCATCTTAAAAGAAACAGCAGGACAAAGATAATCACCTGTTTCCTCGAAATCTTGCGAGAGCAAATCAAGATTTTTTCAACGAGATGTTCCTTTAACTACACGAGCTTCAGAAATGCTTCTGGCTTCTTAACAGCCAGCACTTTTTGAAACAAAAGAACCTTCTGCCTATCTGCCAATTCTTTTGTTTCTGTACCAGTGAAAAGCAAAGTGACTGCGAGCAAAGCAGCAAATATCAGAACAACGACTCAAGTATTTTCCTTGTAATTCTAAATCAAACGTCGCTAAAGAGAATGTACTTGAGTCAATCAATGAACAAAACTCAATGGCAGATAACACCGCAGTTGAGCAGCAATGAGAGAAGCCGGAGCAGGAGGGCTTTACCTGAAGCAAGGCCAGTGAGTGTAACAACGAGCCATCCTGACCAGGCGTCATAGAGACTCTTCGTAAACTCCCACGCCGATTCCTTCTTCTTGCTGGTGATCTAAACACGGGACACGACGCATCACTTTCAAAGACTGGCAAAAATGAATGAGCAAAACCAGCGCTTGCACAGGTGCAGCCAGTGGCACCAGATGTAGAATAACAGTGAAAAATGCTGGGGGGTTTTGTTCACAAAGAGTCATATTAAAAAGCAAGAGCTGGTGCACTACTAGACTACAAATACGGGAAAATGTAGTCCACGGATCTTTTTTCTTCAGCTGTGCTAAAAGGAAGCGTAATTTTGTAACAAACGTTTATCAAAGTTTATCAGTCATTGTCCCAAGAGCTACAGTATGCCTGCAGAAAATGTACTCCTAATGACTCATATTCTGAATTCTTCAAGTTGTGAAGTTTAGTTTTTCTTTCAGCAAATTTAAACACATTCGGTGTATGTTTTGTTTTAAATAGATTTACTTCAAAATTCATAAAAACAACCGATCCATGATGCAATTCTGGACAAATTTGTATCAGTCATCAAAAACGTTAATTGGAGTACCTTTATAAGCAAGTTTATAAACCAAAAAAATAATGGCTAAAAATACTGTATTTGATTAAAAATGTGGAGCTGTATTTCTTCCCCAATTAACTTCATTGTCAGTTTTATTGATTCATATGTGGTGATAATTAAATCACATCTTTCTAGTGATTTGCATATTGCAACAAAATTGTGAGTGCCAGTTTGTGCATATGCACAAGTTCCAGAAAAAATGCTGCCACATTTTCCTACTCACAATATTTGAATCACTTTTACTAAGCTACCTGAGAAGAACAAATTATGCAAACTGAACATCTTTACATTGATGTTGTAGGAGGCATTAGTCACAGGTAAATTACAAAGGAGCTGTGTGGGTTACTCCCAAAACAAGATGTTTCAAAACCAGATTTTTTTAAACAAATAAAGTTAAAGCAAAGTTAAATGACATCGCCACACAAAAGGGAGTACGAAAAAAAATGTTTAATGAGTGACTCGAGCATTCTTTGTGGTGCTAAATATAAATATCACATAGGTATCAAGAAAAATGTGTTTTTAGGTAGACAAGATTTTAAGGAAAGGTTAAACACTGACTTAAATTCACAAAGAACTGAAACATTAATATAACCCTTCTGGTAAAAATAGCAGAAAACCGCACATCCTCTTCAATATACAGAGACTGCCAATAAGCAAAAGCAGTTTTTTTTTTTTCCCCGGTGTGTGGGTAATGCAAATGAAATCAGCTTTACCTTCAAGACAGAAGAACAGCTTTTCGAGAAAACCTTCCAGAATTCACAGGAAAACATCCCGGATTTGAAAATAATTTTACATGAAGACAAAAAAGGACAACAGGGGAACGGGAGGCGAAGGTGGGGTTTGAACCAAAGACGCTAAATATTTTTTGTAAATAACATATGTATGGAGATGATTCTACAGCTCGTTACTGGACCGCACTGCTTTCCTGCGGAAACGGTCAGTACGTCAGTCATATCCCCCCTCCGACTCGTACCTTTCTGTGCCTCTCCCTGTCTTTGCACTTCTCCCTGACCCAGTCAATCGTGTGGAAGTCATCGTAGGTGCCGACGCCTGGGATGGGCTCGTCGAGAAGGTCCAGCAGGTGGGTAGAGCTGCTTATGTTCCCCCCATTCGTCATCGTATAATTAGTTCCTGGCAAAAGGATAGAAAATAAGTGGAGGTCAATGGGAGGAACTGGTAGGATGTGAAAGGAGAAGATTGGAGAATAGCTCAAACACAGCCGAAGGAGGACGTAAAAAACCTTTTCTTCATTTTTAGACACACCAAACCAGTAAGCAATCCATCTTCACTAGGGCCACGTAAACTATCCGCACGTTACCTGTCAGACCGGATAATAAGTAATGATCTCGAGCTCATAAGCACAGCATCTGAATGCTCCAAATATTGAGCACGCTCTCGACTTTGAAATTAAAACACGATTAATTCAAAAACATTTTGTTAAGAAGAAAATGGTACCATTTTTCAAGTAGATAGCGCCTTTTAGCCTTAGTGTAAGTGCAGGATTTTAACCACACCCCATGTTTTTTTTTTTATATACAGTATAAGAGTACTAATCGAGGCAGACTGACAGAAGCAAAGAAACAGATTCTGATTCTTGGCTTCACCTTGACCCCAAGGATCCTCACACACATTAGGTGGGATGACCATAAGGAGCTGCTACAAGGGTGACCACAGGGTTGGCATGAGGGCAGAGAAGTGACAAACTTCTCAAGGACTGCCTTCAAAACTGCTGCTTAGGTGAGTGAAAGTGGGCGAGGTCGAGACTGTCCTTGTCCTGAACTTTTTACTACTTATATACAGTAGTCCAGCAGTTCACACAGAAGGATAGAAGCAATTCGCTAGATCTTGATTTACTGGATTAACCCGACTGGCTGAAGGAACAGTGGCCTGGCCTGTAAGGCTGAACCCCCCAAAGAAGCAAGCTGGACCCATGGTCCCAGTGCAGACCTCTTAACTGCTGAACTGAAGATCAGGTGATCAGATGTCACTAGTCCAAACAACTAGTTTTGATTGAGTGATGATCCTTGTTGAGCAGTGGACAAGGTGAAGCTGATCTAAAATGAGAGGCCAGAAAAACATTCAGCAATTCAAGCCTGCTTTTCAGATTGAAGATTGAAGTAACGGAAGAACCAAGGGCAAGAGACTACTTGCCAGTTCTAATTGATAAATAGTTGTTTGGTTTTTAATCAATGTCAATCTTCATGATTTAGTTGTAACTGGTCATATAAGTATTAATAAAGACCACTGAGAACGGAGTCTGACACACCTTGGCTGCCTGGTTGGTATTGTTTAAGCTGAAACAAAGTCATGTCATTACAGTGTCATGAAAGAACTGATGTGTGGGTGTTGAAGCAGGTGTTGGATGACGAAATATGATCAACAAAAGGAAACTGGGGAATGAAAGCAAAGGGCTTTGAGAGTTTTCCCGAGAATGAGAAAGCAACAAGGATGTGTTTAGAGACAGACGCTTTATAAAAGCAGGAATTATGGATTTCTGGAGGCCTTTTAAGGCGTAGGATAACCTGTGGACATAAAATAGTTACCTTTTAGTAACTTAAGGAAGTAATGGTGGTCAGATAACTATGCGCAACCTTTGGTTTAGAGGATATAATTACTTGAGGAAATCATACTGTAAGATGAATAAGATTGTCCTTTGTTTATTTTACTGCAGAGCAAACATGATACCAGAAAGCATGAGGGCTGATTTCATAGTCCAAGTAGATGTCCAAACAAAAGAAGCAATAAGTACAGTGCAGCTCACATAACGTAGAAAAGATATATGAAGGGGAGCTGGAATCATTTTGGAGGTCATCAGGCTGCAAACCACCTTCCTCTGTAGCATGCATCCAGCCCAAAAGAAGGAAGAGTGTATTTAACACTTAACCATAATAACTCTTCAGGAATGAAAGACCTGAAGTTATAGAAAGTAATGTTTCAACTGTGAAGGATCAATTGTGATAGCCTGATTTCCACCCTGCAGGTGGTGATACAATGGTGTAGGGAAGCCATAGCAGAGGCGACACTGAGAAAAACAAGAAGAGAACTGAAAACCAAATTTTTCCATATAAGAAAATACTTCACTTAAATTGACATAGGTAAGTTCCACATATCTCAAACCACAGATACAAAAATGCTTTCTTCCTATTCAACAATGAAGATCCACCTGAGATGTACAGAATTACTTTGATGACAGTATGTCAGGGTGCTGCCTTTCACAATATAAAGGGAATATGTAGGAGAGCAAAACAAGCTAGTGCAACGCAAGCTCTGTGCTAGGCCAAATGAAATAGTAAGATTGAAAGGGGACTACAAATAACGTGGATACTAAGCTACCATGAAGACAGCCCAATCACAGGCCAATTCTAAACACATGAGTCTTGAGCAGGTGCTGAAAGATGGTTGAGTAGTTCTGATTTCTTTAGATAGTTCAATCCAATACTGAACTAGGAACAAGGGTGGAGAACAATAGGATCTGGAAGAGGAGAAAGATGAGAAAGAGAGGATGGAGCAGGAGGAGGTGTAGGAAGAAGTTAGTATCTGAAGAGAGGCAGAAAGAGATGTTGAGGCAGTAATAGACAAAGACTAGGGTTTTGAAGCCCTACAACAGAAAGACAGAGGGTGGAACTGCAGTAGTAGAGCAGCATGAAAAATGTGAAGAAGATAGTATTAGTAGAGAGGAAGTCCAAAAGGAACTTAAAGTTGTGGGACTTAAAAGGTGCAAAACTACCAGTGCCTGGACTCACAGTTGTGTAGAACATATGGTAAAGAAGGGAAGGATTCTTAAAAAGATGTTCAAGGTGAAGTAGGACAGAGAAGAAATTCATTGGGGGACAGAAAAGAGAAGGGTCGAGACTTGCAGACCTTTGACAGAGGAAAATGAGGAAGCAAAAAGAGAGGAAAGGAAGAAAAGTAGGTCAGACATTGAGAGGCTGTTATGATTGTGAGAGTGCAATCAGGAGAAGGTGACTTTAAGGCAGAGATACAGGTGAACACCTGAGTGAGTGCTGAGTGTAAGACTGGGTAAAAGGAAAAGACAATTTGTGCACTTTCAGCATAAAAACAATCTAAAAAGCTAGGGAAGGAGATGCCCCAAGGAAATCAAGGAGCCAGCCAACAGGAGAAGATAGACATTGTTGGGATGAGGGGCCAGGGACAGAACGCTGACTGACACCTAAAGAGAAACTGTGAGGAGCAGAGGAAAGGCTTCGTGGTATGGTATAGGCAGTCTGAGCAGCACGAGGATTGTGGGTAGAGAACTTGATGATGGAGATGACAGAGACTGAAAATAGGATCGCTTGTTAAAGGGCAGGAACTGAAGAGAAGGTGGAAATGACATGAGTGATAGAGACCATAAACGGGGGCCAATTCAGAACTCTTCCATTTCTTTTCAGCTGAGCACAGCTTATTTTCTGACAGAGTTGATTACGGAGTAAAGCCAAGGATGGGAGGAGGAGGCAGTCAGCTTTATTTGATGTTAGCTGGCAGTCCAAGAGAGTTATCTTCTTACCCTCAGCAGGACGGGGCTCATCCTAAGGCACGCGATGGAACATTCTGTAGAGGTGGACATGATTTCTTAAAAGAAAATGAAAAAGGAGTGGTTCTACACTAAATCCACTTTTAGTTGTGAAGGGAATCAATAAACCTGAAGATAACTGTATATAAAAATACAGATAAATACAGGGATGCCCATTCATTCAATATCGGAGAGCCATCAGTTCCTGGCAAGGGTTGCTGAAACATGAATCTCATCCCCAGAAGTGCAGGACACAGAGATGGGACAACACTGCGCAGAATGCAAACATAAGCATCCATGGACACTTCTGGGACACCAATTAGTCTAGCCAGTACGGCTCTGAGAGATGTGAAGATCCTGGAGCTCTTGGTGAAACCAATGTGAGATCATGAGAGTGTGCAAACCACACAAAGATAGCGCCCCAGTCTGGATTAAAAACCCAGAACCCACGATCTGCGAGGCAGCAAAAACACACAAAGATCATATAACATGCGAACGGGTGTAAAAAATAATCATCTATAAGATGTTTTTTCAATACTTCAAACCAGCTACGACTATGTGCCCCGACACATTAGACATGACATATTCGAGGCCCACAGAACAGCTGAGTTGACAATGGCTTACTGTGCATTATTACCAGAAGTGCAAAGCAGATAAAAGAGGCTCAGCCCTAGCACAGCAACCTTGTGCCCCAAATGCCAGCTGAATGAACATATGACCTAAATTTGAGCACAATAAAGAAAAATACTTAAAGCTTAGACAATATCTTGGCAATTCCTTTAATCAAGCACTTTCATGCCACTTTAACGTAATGTTGTTTTAAATAATCCGTTAACATCATGGTACAGAATAAATTAAGATTTAAAGAAAGGACAACATTTGGAAGTAATTACATAGAATGGAAGCTGCTTTTACTTTTTCCCAGCTGTAAGTTGTATTAAAACAAAAATAAAAATTGTCTTACTATTAACTACCTGCAGTATCATAACTGTTCTGTCCAAAGGTATTGGTCTACAGACCTTTAATATGACTGAATTAGACTGGAGTGGATTTGACTTTTTAAAAATTAAAAATAAAATATGAGACCAAAGGAGGAAAGAAACATCTTTCCATGCTTCTTATTTTATTGCTTTCTATGACACAGGTGTAACACTACAGTGTGGCATATTTTTTCTGTTCAAAAATAAAACTGAAAAAAAATTCCGAACACGTCAGAAAAATCTGATTTGGAGCACAGAAAGGCTACAATCCTGTTCACTGAGTTCAGTAGATAAGTGGAATGGGGGAGGGGTCTTCCTTTAACACTCTCTAGAGTGGGTGGGGCGAATTGATATTAAGGCACAGTAGGCTGATCATTCACTTGCAACTGAAGATTTTCCTTTACCCAAAAAAATCCAAACACTCTCACACTCATTACATAAAACATCTCATTTTGCTGAGGATATTTTGTCACTTTTAATATAAAAAATGGGGACTGGAAATTGATATCGACACTACTTAATTCTCTACCGTAGAGTGTAACAGGGTTTTCCTGTTGAAATGCTAATGAATTATGAATGCTCGACACATGTTCGAGGTTCCTGCATTTTTCATGCAGCATTTACACCAATCTCTGCAA